GCTCAGAGTGTTGAGAAGACGGGACGACTCATAGTCACTCACGAAGCTCCGATGACCTCAGGATTTGGAGCGGAGATCGCGGCGTCAATTCAGGTTAAGTGTTTTTCTCATTAAAGTGAGAAGGTAATTTTTAGTTGCTTTGATGAAGGCTTTTTTTCAGCGTCGTTGCTTCCTGCACCTTGAAGCACCAATTGAACGAGTCTGTGGCTTTGATACGCCATTCCCACACGTTTTCGAGCCATTCTATCTGCCAACTAAATGGAGGCTGTTAGATGCCGTGAAGAAATCCCTCAATTACTAGTCAGAGATCTTTTTCACTGCATAGATTGCTGCTGGTTGCTTTTGCCCAAAAGTTCTCTAAGCATCTTATCCTGCTTTGCATTTCGTCGCATTTTTTGCTCGTTTTACCGCTTGGGACAGAGATTTTATTTCATACTTTTTTCTGTGCATTGCCTTCCACGTGCTGATTTCTTCCCCCCTTATCCGGTTCTGAATGACATATTACATATCAATATTTTATCATCAATAAGATGACTAGGTGATGGTTGCTAGAAAATACTCGGCTAAGCGCTAGATGCTCTGTCGCTAGGTAAAGCTTTGACGTTATATGTGCTGCATTCACGATTGTAAGGATGATATCCACAATGAATGATTTGCTCTTCCATGTGCATCAACAAGAAGAATATGAAGAACACTGAGTTTGAGCAATGTTTGCTATCACACGATGTTTTTCACGTCTTGTTGAGGAACCCCGAATCATCTTATGCAGGGGTCACATCGTCTCCTATTTTATGCTTACAAGAGGAGTAGTTTTCAAGTTTTTTTGAGGAACTACCGACGATTTTGAAATACCACATCGCCTCTAGGTGATACTTATTGTTTACTAGTATTAATTCAACTCAGTTTTCCAGAATGGGTGATAATCTACGTGATCTCGTTGTTAATTGGTTTGATACTCTTTTTCTGCATCAAGCCAATATTTCCTAACACTCTACTTCGCTCATCCTGCCGCGTTGATTATGATAACTGAAATGTTTCTCCTTTTTCCACTTTCTCCTTCTCCATGTAAAAAGAGGAAGGTATAAGGGAATCGACAGGTTTCTCATCGTCGAAGAAAACTGTTCTACTATCTGAGCTATAATTTTTGTAGACAATAAGAAAATAAAA